TGCTGGTCAATGTCACTGCCCGAGAAGTGCTTCTCACATACTCAGGAGGTGTCAGCGCGCGATCTTTCCGTGGTATGGCGGGAGCCCACATTTCAAACCTTACCGGGTAACTAGGAACTTTAAAAGTAATTACCTTCTCCTTGCAGAATGCGTAACTATTGCTGCAATTCAGTACAACACATTTCCGCTCCATCTTGATGAATGGTTTCTCAAATTCAGCAAAGCGCTATCTCCTGTCGCGATGCGAAAAGCATCTAATGGCTAAGGTACTCGGCTACTGACCCGCAGTTTGCGGGTTCGAATCCCGGCTGTGGCGGCTGCATTTCCGATGGAGGCGGAAATGTTGTAGGCCCGTGTGCTGAGATTCGGGTGCACGTTAAAGAACCCCAGGTGGTAGAAATTTCCGGAGCCCTCCACTACGGCGTCTCTCATAATCATATGGTGGTTTTGGGACGTTAAACCACGCATATCCATAAACCAGCGGCGCGAAAAGCACGTGTAATTAGTCGTGAAGAGCGCGCGCAAATGGTCAGCGCCGCCGGCGCAATTGAAGCCACTGAGAGCGTTAAAAAAACAACAAAAACCCGTGACAGCTTGGGGAAACTTACACTGCCAAGGCCGCCCACGCATGCGCGGCCACAACGTGCGAGCGAGCAGCGAAAAGCGCGTACATGCGGTAGACGTCGTCTGCTCTACGCTATATCTAGCAGCTTGTTTCAGGCGCTTTGTGGCCGTAATTCTGACAATATTAGTTAGTAACTGCCGCTGAAACATTTGTCACACCTTTGTATTCATGTGACACGTGAAAATTTTAAAACATATTGCAGTTTACGAGGCGCTATTACAATTTTTATGCGTCGGGCACTTAGAAGCGCATGCAAAAAAAGATGGCAACAGGCCGAAAGCGTCAGCTGCCGAGCGTTGGCGTAAACCACATCGCTCCGTGACACTACAGCGTCGCCCTCGCCCGCTGGCGTGGCCTGGGAATTTCTCCTGAAATACTTCTTTCTCTGTGAGATAGGGCGAGCCCGACGCTAACTGCAGCGACGTGCTCAAGCGACTTCCCTCACCAGATGCCTTACATGCCTTACACGATGTTGCGTCTTCAGGTGACAACAATCACTGTATTTGGGCACACATAAGAACTAAGGTTATTCATCGTGTTACCGAAAAGAAACTTCAGTGTAAACAATGTCGCGCAGCTCCCCTAAACAAAGAGCACGTTGTAACACAGGCAGGATACACTAGCTGTCTATCGAAGGTGCACTGACGCAGACTGAACATATACATTGGGACCAGTCGCTGGCTCTGCGTAAGATGGAACAATGCTACGTAGGGAAGATGACGGCAGTATGAAACTCGTTTGCTTGAGGTGCTGCAATCTCTAACAATTCCCATGTTTAAATTCATATAACAAGTCAATATATGACGTAGAGAGCTTGGATCAGTCTGCAAACCTTGGGATATACTTACCCGGCTGAAGGCATTTATACAGTATTTTCAACATAGTTTCACGGTTCCTTCAGCATGATTGTCTAGCACGACAGACAATTTTTTATTCTATAGGGACACTCTAAAAGAATGTTTGCAAAGGCGTCGTCACTGTCTTCGCTGCCAAGTTCAATGTAAATTACTAATCAATGACATCGCCCTAGCGTATTGCGTATTATGTGCGAGTGAAGGCGTGCGACGTCTGCCGACGAACGAGGGGGTTGCACTGATTGACTGCTATGCGAAAGAAGCATTGTAATAATAATAAAAAGTTAGCTGTGTCTTTAGATAGGATCGGGAGGTGGCTCATACTTGGTACGAGTTGTGGTCTTATCGCCAAGTTTGAATTCAAGCCACCGAAAGTTTGAAAGTCACTTCGCTTACTCCATCAGCCGCGTTAGTGCTCATTCACCTAGCCGTGAAACAGCCAGTCGCGTCGCCGTCGCGTCAAAAAAAAAAACGCAGAGAAGACGAGATAGAACTGTGTACATACAGACAATGGAGGCTGCAGCACGTTTTTGCACTGTGTTGACCTACCACTTTCATTTTCCCTTTAAACGTGGAGAAACGAAATCAACAATTTTGAGTAATTACGTTAATGCGGCTTTTGTTGGTAGAACGTTATAGTAAAGAAGACGTAAACGGTTAATAGTTCATTCTGAACTCAACATGAATGCTATTTCAACACAAGAAATGAAGCGGTATTGATCTCCACAACAGACAACACTGCCGTCGTGGGTCAGCGACCCAGTCGTTCTGCCTCCGCGTTCTTTAGTGCCCTTCCCATTTTCTTTTGTTCTTCAGGTGCGTCGAGAGGAAACAGGCACTGCTGTAATGAGGAGTGGGTTCCGTCCCTGCGCCAGTGACGGAAATGTAAATAATCTCTCTACGTCACCATCAACCCATTTTTGAACAGAAAATGATTGGGGCTTCCTCTCCCCCGACGAAAACCGGCACTGTGACGGTCACGAAACAGGGCGTTTAACGGCTGCGTGAATTAGCACTTAGCTTACGCGAGTGTTCGTTTTGGCCTGGTCTCATGCTAAAGACATGTCCCCGATAGCTTTCATATAGTATTTTTAGTTGTAGCTATCGTATCATTTTTTTTCGCCATTGCAACAAAACTCAGTTTTTTTGCTTGCTTAGTGCCTTGACTGTCACGCCAAGTAAACATTTTCCAAGAGCTGATGTAGCTTAGAAAAAAAAAAGGATCATTCGCGAGGAAGAGCTCTTGAGTTTGCCCACGTATTTGTCGCTTTTCCCTAAATTGGCTAGTGCCAACCTACATAGCCTTTGTTTTTGGTAGTTGCATTATTTCTTCAGTTTTCATGTTCGAAATAATGAAATAAACGGTATCAAACGTACTTAGATAGCGTTGCGTATTAAAAGTAACCACCCGCAGGTAAGCCGTTTTTAGGTCGACTGCTGTCAGTCGCCCTTCGGGTCTTCAAAGCGCCACCGCGAAAATAGTTTAGGGACACCTGTTCTATAGCGAATGGGACGTTCCTTAGCTCACCCTTTCCACACAACTCGTTTCATCACGCGACGGCATGCTCCTTCATGTACGAAGCCACGAGTGTGATCTCCTCCTTTTTAAGTGTTTTTTTCACACCGCGATCATTAGAGGGTATTATTATATAAAGAGATAATAATTACCAATTCATTAGACACCTGCTACCAAAAATGAACAAGCGAGGCATTGACGATTCTTCAAAAATTGCTTTTTGCACTTTTACCAAAACGGAAAGGGCAAAGCTACTGACGATGCAAAGTAGTAATGCACAATACATAATATACATAAATACATAAATACGTACATGGTACCTAAAATACATATTATAAATGCGAAGCATTTTTAGCGAACTTTGGCGACCTCGAGCGTATCTATCTATCTATCTATCTATCTATCTATCTATCTATCTATCTATCTATCTATCTATCTATCTATCTATCTATCTATCTATCTATCTATCTATCTATCTATCTATCTATCTATCTATCTATCTATCTATCTGCTTACGTTTGGGTGCTCTCATGGTGATCCCCTTAACTTGGTGTGAACCAAAATTAGCATGGTAGGGTTAGATGGTTTGATGAATATGACGCGCTGGTCTAAACTTGAATAATGTAACAATCCCGTCGCGTACGTCGTCAACTACTTCTCGCTTGACAGTGGCCCGTACTTACGCGTGGGTATGTGCCGCTAGTGTGCGGGTATGTGCCACTGGTGATTGACACTTAGTACCTACCCAGGAATGACGAGAACACACATGGAAAATTTCAGCGCGTGGGATTTAACCAATAGCGGACATTGCTAGCGTCGACCCAACGAAGGCATAGAATAAATGTCAGTGTTAAAAAAAAACTTAACGTAGACCGCGTGACGTTTACGTTGTTTCATTGCACGCCTTTGTATTTAGATAATTTGTTCTTACAGTTAAACCTAGTCACAAAATGAATGACGTTTTTTTCATGACAGTTAGGCGTGCCATTCGAAGCATATGTATTTTTTTTATAAGGGGGTGTAACGTCCTAAAACAACTATGTGATTATGAGAGACGCCGTTGTCGAGGGCTCCGGAAATTCAGACCACCTGGGTTCACTAGCCTGCTCCCAAATCTGAGCACACGGGCGCACAGAATTTCCCCCTCTATTAAAAATGCAGCCGCCAAAGCTGGGAGTCGATCCCGCGACTTGCGGGTCAGCCGCCGAATACCTTAGCCACTAGACCATCGCGCTGGGGCGAAAAAGCATATGTGGCTCAAAATACGTTCTTGTTTTACAATATGTAAGCTAGTTTGCTTCTTATTATTGTGAAGGTAAAGCTAAAGAACCACATTTCAATGAATAATGTTCCCGCTTACGCAAATGAACATCATCATAGTTGGATGCAACTTCAGTAGTCCAGAAAGTTTCCGTGCAGATGACTGAAGCACGGTGGCCGATACCTTCTGCGACTAAATACCCGCTCATGCACTCAACCACGTTCTCCGAAGGCCGTCCAGCTCAAGACGAGAGGGCGCACCCATTGGTGCAGGCTTACGTGCATCCGATTTTGAGGATATGACTACAAGTTACTTCTACTTGGCGAAGCCTCAGGTGGCGGAAATTAACCGTTAAAGGCACCCTTATCGCTGTTTGAATCAAAATAGATGTATAAGGAAGAATATTTTCGCCCGAATCGCGTTACGTAGATAGTAAGAGAGCGAAAATTCTTTTTTAATACATGCCTTTCTGATTAGTATTACAGGGCCAAGGTATAAATGACAGAGTCAAACGACGTCTTCGTTACTTAATACGGATGCAATCGCTTTCAGATAAACTTGATATAAGTAACAATGTTTTATTAGCCCCACCATTGATGCGGCAGCGATCGGCCACTAATTTGTAACTAATGCACGCTGCACAGTTATAGCTAAAACGCGCACTCTCCGAGAGGAGTGTGATGCACTTTAATGCATAGATTGCGAGAATGCTGTCAAAAAATCGTCCGAAATGATCTGACTTACTTTCACTGATGTGAGCTTTTTAGTCGCGGTGGCCACTTTTGCAGCGTTTTGTGTGTCAGCAAAAAGTATCCTCGGAGAAACCTTGGACAGCTGTTCTTCCACTTCCCCTGTATATACAAGTGTTTTTCACGATGTAAATGATGTCATCGAATACCCTTCATTTGAAAAGGCTGCACGCCAGATCACATCTTCCTTATGTTGCAAAAGATTACTACTGATAATAAACGTGGTGAAACACGTGTGACAGCCGCTCACTTTCTGTTAGGTTGGTTTTGACGAATGTGACTTTTCCGCCAGCAAATACGGCCCCGAACACCGCCACGACCAAGTCAAGGCTATTCGCACTGGTAAACGCAGCCACATCTCCTGGTACGAATCCGAGGCTGTGCATTCCTGCGGCCACGTTCCAGCACTGCTGCTCGAGCTCAACATAAGTACAGCTGGTTCCCGTGGCGTCGTCAACCTGCAATTTGTCAGGGAGCAACATTCATCCATGCAGTGAATGGCTACAGAAAAAGGACGTCCGCGATCACCAAATGCGCACATAAAAGTACGATTGCTGAAAATCACAAGCTTGTAACACTAAGAGACTGTAGGATTGCATGTAAATTTAACAAAAACGTTTCTAAGAAACAAAAAAGAAGTCGCTGTAAGGCCCTAAAAACCTGGACTGATGCCTCTGCCAACTGGTCGCTCCACCACATACACCGATCCGCAAGAAAGTTAGCAAACTTCAACTCTAGGGGGAATTAGTTAGCAGTTGGAATATACACTCGGGTACATTGAAATATTTCTTTTTAGTTTAAGATGTTCAGTGACACAAAATATACATTATAACTAATCATTTGTGTGGAGTAGTGAGGTGCCCAGTACCCGCGCACAGGTCAATACGCAAACCTACATAGTCGCGCACTTTGTTCATGCTCTGGCTTATGATTGAAAAGAGGGAATAGCGCCAGAACAATGGAAGGTAGCGAATGTCTTACTCATTCACAAATCCGGACCCCCAAACTTGGACAAACTCCGCCCCATCTCCCTCATGTCTTGTGTAGGGAAGGTGGCTGAGCACGCCTTCCATACCAAAATCACGGAGCACATTGAGACTAACGACCTGTTCTCTTACAACATGATAGGTTTTGGGCCAGGCCTCTCCACCCATGACGTCATGAAGCTTATTAGGATCCAAATACTGGACAGCTGCTCTCGAGCACGAGAGCCATCCTTGGCCTGGACCAGGAGAAGGCTTTAGATAAAATCCTTTTCGAGTTCTTTCTCGATGCTATCTCCAATGTCGATCTAGGCTCGTGCTTCCATGCTTTTTCCAGGCCTTTCATATGCAGAGGATGCGCCGTCTTCAAGGCTGGAGGGCTAGAAACAAAAAATTGCCGCCCCCATCTCCCCACAAAGGGAAGTCGAGTGAATGCGTCGCAGAGTTACTTCGTCTTTATTATCCAAATTTATTGAATGAGGGAGAAGCGTTGTCTTCAATGCCAAGTGATGCCAAGTAAAGACGCCCATGACTGAATTCCGAACGCGCGATCCAGTACCTACATATACGGGGTGGCCAGTAGACGGATATGTAGCGCTAGCAGCCGTTTTTTTTTACTAGCAGACGCTACCTACGTTGACCTTGCGAGGTGAAAGAGGGAGAAGGAAGTCACAGAACTAAAGCGCGGACCTTAGCCCCTTTGCTTAAACATAATTACGACCTGAATCTTACACCCCATTTTATTAACGCGATCGACAAACAGCAAGTAATTATCGACGTACTTATAAACATGTTTAGAATACCCTCGAAATCTTCTCAATTCTTAGATCTCACAATTTTAAGATATTTTATTACAGTTCAAGGGAGATCATGTTTGCTGGTGTTATTCCTCGCGCTCCGCAAAAGCACTTTTAAGCTGTCGCTCTGGTTATTAAAAAATTGTAAAGAAATAATTGGCCACGTCTTTTCCTAAGTCAGCTCTAAAAAAGTCTTCTCAAGCTATTGTGAGAGTTTTTTACCGGAGGTTAACAGACTGGAAGCGGTAGGCTTACCGCACGTTGTGCTTGCCTACATTTCACAGCGATCGTTTATATTGTAGTGCCATCATCATCACCATCATTTTCTTGATCACCGCGCCGCGCCTCTCGCGCAGCTGATGCTAGCTCGAGCTGCGCCAGAATTAGAACGAGCTGACACACCTGGCGGTTTGGACGCTGGTAGCCGACGTGGCTCCGCTTCAGGCGAGGAATAAAGTGGCGAGATCGGCACGGCCCCGTCGGCCACCTTCGACGCCACCTCACGTCTCCTCCTCCGTCTCGCCGCTACAATATCTTGAAAAGAGAGCAGAAAGAGAGCCTCGATGTTGCTGTTTTGGCCTCGGATGGACGAAAAAAGTCCGTCATTATCCCATATTTGCATTCTGTGTGACACCGTTTGAAAAAAGTTGCCAGTCATTATGATATACGCGTTGCCCTTCGTGCAGACAAGCAGCCAGGAAGCGTGTGTCTGAGAGTGACAAAAAAGTGGGTGGAAGAGGCAGGCCACTGTTAGCGTTGAAGGTTACTCTTTCAAGCACTCTATACGTTTTACTGACTCTGCGAGTTGAGTGGTGTATTCCGTGCCTTTGTCGTGCGTGTGTACATACATTGGGCAGACTGCACGTTGTCTCAATGTCCGGCTAAGGGAGCACACGCTAGCTCTTAGAGAGGTACACCTCACGTTACTTCCATTAAGCAATCTGTTGTTAAAGATCACTTGGGTCGTGCACTTCCTTGTGTTTTAGTTTCGCTTTTTTATGCGTTGATTGTGATGAGTATGTTCCAACTAGCCCAATTTGCTAGTTTACTTCAGTTCATCGCTAGCCTAGACCCTCATTGTCCTTTATTGCGGGGCACAGACCAGTCCAATGAAGATAAGCGGCTATGCTCAATTAATAGCCCTGATGTAGGGAACAAACTGTGGTTTGCCAAGAGAGGCCACAATGTGGCGGTTGGGCTTAGCCTGACTGTGCCAACGTGGGAGCGGCCCGTTGCACATTGAGTCGCACCGCTCAGGACTTATAATAAAATTTCGCATCCATCCACCAATGGCTTATTAATACGTAAAATTTATGGCTCAACAAAATTTGATGACTGAGATAGCCAATATATTTGTCAAGAGCGAAAATTCTCATCGTTTTTTCTTTTTTATGGCTTCGTCCATGCCGGCTATCAGTGCTCCGTTCACTCTGCTACGAAGATAATTGTGATTATGTGCTTATGACAGACATGCCACTTCTTGAAGCCGACGGTTTTTACGGCCTAGGGCAGCCCAATTTTTCGGCATAGCCAGCAAAGACAAACAGACAGATAGACGGACGGACGCTTCGCCCCACTCAGGATCATTCACTCCGTGGATATGCTGTGATTTTATTAATTATCGACCTCATGCTGCAGCGTGTATACGTTCTTACATGTGCACAAACACATGAAAGCTGATTCTGATGGAGGTGGGACACTCGACAGCATACCACTAGTTTGCCTTGATGACGTACTGTCAGCAGCAAAAGTTCGTGGCATCTTGAGTGCATGGCCGAGCGACGAAAAACTGCATTGCCGTGCCCTCGAGTGCGATCGCGCCCGATATCGAGTCCTATGGCACTGCTGTGCCAATCATTCTAAGCGCATGCCTGTCCTTTCATCGACATCAGTCATGGCTCCACTGGATTCCACAGGATGCGCTGTTCACGCACTTTATAGGTGCTCTGAGGCCACCGCCACATGGGTGTGGCAGATACTTGACTATGAATGGAACTAGCAAGCATCACAGAGCACCCGGGCATATTTTGAGCGGTGCGCTCTGCGTTCCCTGAATGAATGTTCTTTGCAATGACGAGTTGCTGGCCTAAAAAGCACTTTTTGTTTGCTGATGACATGATATCCAAGCATTTTTCTTGTGACCCACATTTTCTGTTCGTCGCGCATTCCTTCTGAAACCCCCATTAAATGTTAGAGCGTGAATTAAAACAATGCTGTCTTGCGTTCCAGAGGACCTCATACGCTACATTGCTCACCTGCCTGTAGAATGTGTGTCCCCAAAAAATATGTCACTGCACAAGAAGGTCTACTTTGGCCGTTGTACTAGTGGTTAAAAAATTTAGATACGATAGAGGAAGGAGTGACGACGCCCCTCGTCATGGACGACCGAGGGTCTTCGAAGAAGAAGAAGACGCATTGATTATGCCGCTTCCATCGCAGAACCCCTTCTGAACGGAAAAGCAATCAAGCGAGAGCTCGGCCTTCACATATCATGCGACGCAATTAGAAGACGTCTTAAGGACGCGGAGCTGCGAAATTGTGCAGCAGGCAAGCAACCTTCGTAACTGAGAAGCAACGCCGGTAGCAGCTGCAGTTAGCCAAGGAGCACGAGCGCTGGTGTGTCGAAGAATGTACCGAAGTCATGCATACTGATGAGTCCACATTCTGCGCCAGGTGGGATCACCGACAGCGTGTTTGGTGGCCTGTGAAATGGAGGTCTGATTTAGGTTCGCGTCTTTATTATCACGCTTGTTAATATTAGACAGTAACACATAATCTATAACTTATAAACGTTATTTGGAGAGAGAGAGACAGATTTATTAACAAATTGCTAAAGTTGAGCCTGAGCAATAGCGTGTTGTGCGGATACGGTGTTTCACTGGCTGACTGTGTAATTAACTGTTCATTGCACCACGGCCTACTGTCTTATATAAGTGGTGACAGATAACTCAAATGCTGTGGTAGAAGTCTCCGCACATTGCAGTTTCTTGAATAGGAGAATTTTTGTTATAAGTGTGTCCATTTTACAACATGAAAATACTCATGAAGATATAGAAGAGTTCATAAGCCGTTTACGCTAGCCTACTCATGTAAAAAGTTTGTTCACTGGGAGGCAATTCTTTTGTCGCCTTTGGTGCAGTACATAACGGCAGTTTATTTTCTCTCACTTGGTTCTGTTAAATACATACCAGAGTACAGGTAGAATGGGCTATCGAGTGGTCGGTGGAGCGTTTACATCTGGGGGGAAGGGCATCAGCAAAGATAGACTTGACTCTTTAGCGCATACCGAAGGAACCTCTAACGCTCCATCGTACTGTGACATTGTGAAGACCCTAGTGCTGTACAACCTGGATGGCCCGTTTCCTGGTGGCTTCTACTGGCTGCAGCACGAGCACACCCCATTCATACTGCGTGCTTGCTGAAGCCGCACAGGACTCTTGAGGTGTGCAGTGGTTATCATGGCCTCCAAGTGTTGCGAACCTGAATGCTACTGAGAATGCATGGGGTTTGATAAAAAGGTGCCTCACTGCCCAAAGTCGCCCCCACCCCTACGCAGATGCTCTTTGAAGATCAAATAAGGAGGCATGGGAAGTACTCAGCAAAGAAACTGAAAGCTTGAGGGACCTAGACGAATCCATTCCGCGGAGAATCGCTGAAGTGTTCGGAGCAGCTGGCTAA